CTCTCTCTCTCTCTCTCTCTCTCTCTTTATTTCTTTCTTACTCGCTCGCTCAACCGCCTTTTTCTCTCTCCCTAATCCCTTCTTTTTCTCTTTTCTCGCTCCGTTCTTCTTCCCTCGCCCTTTCTCCCGTGTTCCCGCGTCCACTCGAGGTCTCGGCAGTACCCACGTCACTCACATTTGACTTGGATTTTTTTTTATTTATTGTATTTTTCTTCTTTTTTCCTTGCACGGTAAAAACAATGTCTCATCCAGTGGAGTTCTTTAAAGTTTTCCCTTTTTTCTCAAAAAAATATTGGAACACCTCAGCTGTTGCAGCTCTCTAAATGTGCTCCTAATGCTTTTTTACGCTAATCTCAACTTGCTCTTCTCCCGCCAGGTGAACCTCCATGGCAGCCTTTTGGACAAATCATCCTCCGACTCCCAGAGCCAAGATGTGGAGATCCTCCTCCGGAAGTCCAAGACTCTTCTGGACCGGTAAGAGCAGCAGCGGTGGAGGCAGGACGATCTTTATCGTCCGTCGTCGTGCCGTTCGCAACATTTAAGTGTTTGCGTTCTTCTTTTGTGTTTTGTCACTTTACCTTCTTCATAATCGGCTCGTAAAGCGGTCGCGTTGTCTACTTGTAGCGACTTCACCTCATTATAATTTTCCCATTCCGAATCGCTGCTTTTGTGCACAATCTGGAGCGCGTCGCTGCCTCCACCCCGCCCCCGCCACTGCACTGCCCCAGATGGCCGTGCCGCCGCTCCCGCCAAGTTTGGGGCAGAGACCGGGCTGCTAATGGCCGGGGCCGAGAGAGAATAGCGAGAAATGGCGCTTGAAATTTCGCCACTTCAGCTCATCCCTGAACTCCCCGCCGCCGCACTGTTTGTGCGTGCGCGCGCATGCGTGGCCTGTGCGTGCTTGTGCTCACCCGCTCGTGTGTCGGTGCCCGGCCCCCGGTGGTGGTAGTGGTGGTGGTGGGAGCCAGGCAGGCCGTATGAGTGTTGAGGTGGTTCTTATAGCGTTTTAGTATGCGAGCCTTCGCATTCATTGCTGCAACGCAGTAAACTTAATCCTAAAATTAATCTTCGTCTCACCGTTTCCCTTTTCCACCTTCTTCGAAAGGTTGGAGCAAGGTAGAAAAGAGATGTTAATTCGGTGTTTTAAAAACAAATCTTGCTCTTAATGGTGTCAAATTTCCAATTTGTTCTCCCATGCTGCTTCCCCTCATTTTTTTGTAGCTTTCGTTAGTAAGAATGGTATCCTAGAACCAATCAGCTAGCTTGTGAGTCAAACACCTTCTTCTTGGTTTCCATGGAGACTTGGAAATTTTATTCCTCTCTATTTTATTTTTTAAAAACCTTCAAAAAATATTTATATTTAATTTAAAACTCAATTTCACTTCTAACATCGAATGTCTTTATATTGGTCGTCGAGACGCCGCACTATCGCCGCACTCCCCCCACCCCTTCTGCCTAACCGAAACAATATAGCGACTGGCCTGTTGTACCCTGCAGCAGATGGCGCCGTTTGCTTCGGCCTGATTCGCCGATATATTTATAATAAGAAAGCTGGCAGAAGGCGGTGTGGGAGGGTATATGTAGAGAGGAGACAAAGGGGTGAAGAGCGCAAGCGGGAGGAGAGGATATATAAATGCGAGGCCTGGAGGGATTTAATTTGTTTCTTTTTGCTTGTATATGCGAGTCACCT